CAACAACTACTGTTAGTGGAACAAACAACAACAACTACTGTTAGTGGAACAAACAACAACTACTGTTAGTGGAACAAACAACAACTACTGTCAGTGGATGAACTTTGGTGGCACATTTGTTGCCAAAGATTAGCGTTTCGTAGTTACCCAACATTTCGTAGCAGCCATTGTAGCCTGTTTCATTAATATTTTCACATCCACGTTGGTGAATTAAGGATTTATTTCCACCAAACCAGAGTTGGTGATTGTTGGTAAGACTAACAGAGACACTTTTAATGAGTTTTTATTCTGTTTCTGTCCACTTTGAAGTGTGTTTTGTCAATGGAGTCTGGTATCAAGTCCGTCACATTCCTGCAGAGTATTTATCAGGATCACAGAGTATATTTGCTCAAGTGGTTTCCCCGGCCGACCTCAGGAATGTTCTCTGGCTCTTCACGCTGATAAAAGCCGAGTCGTCTTTATTTAGAGTCACAGAACGGACGGTTGGTTTCATGAGTGTGTGAGGAGTTCGTCCATCTAACGTATGTGATCCTGTCTGATATCTGCTCAGGTTCGCCAATCAAACGAAGGCTGCGGGCTCATCACTCCTGTCAGAGGTAAGAACTACTTTTACCTTTTTACTAGACCTGCTGGTTGATTTCAAATAAACCGCCACCGTTACTTTGTCCCGGTTTAAGTAGTACCAGTCAGGTTCGGTCTTACTGCATGTTAGCGTTTAGCAAGTACATTTCCCGACATGAACCTCCCCCCTGTGTGTCCCTCAGCCTCGACCTGTCCCTCCTCTCTCCGGACTCCTCGTACGTCTGTTACCCTTCGGTGGACGGCGGCGACCCGTGCTCCTGCCGCCGCTCGCCGCGCCTCCTCACCAACGGCTACTACAGCGTCACCGAGGACAGCTTCTCCTGGGACGACGAGGGCAACGTGTCGCTGACTCCCTGCAAAACCAACGTGTCCTACAAGGAGAACCTGGTCAGGTGGGAGTCGTTTCTGAAGTCGATTTACTGACAGTGAACTTTATTTGTACCGTAGTTTACACGTCTGCAACCGACACACACACACACACACACACACACACACACCCTCCTCTTCAAACACCTCTTTATAGCGATGAGGTCATTCTCAGCAACCAATCAGAGCGAGCCGTTCGGGCACGTCGAGCAGGTTTTATAAAAGCTGTTAATTCTTCACGTCTGACATCGTCCGCGCTCAGGAGCCAGAGTCTGATGTCATCCGTCACGGTTGCTAGGAGACCCTGGTGTTATTGAAACCTTCATCGTCAACAACATGAGAAGAGTTTCTTTGTTCTCTTACATTAGAGTCACACAGACGTTGTTGAACTCTTTCATTATTCAGTATTTTCTGACATTATAGAGATAAAATAAAGGAGTCTTGAGAGCTCCGGGTTCAGTCCAACATTAAGAAGAACCATCAACAGGAACCAGAAACATGGTCTTTGTATTTCAGGGTCTTCCGGCGCAGGCGGCGGCCTCGCGGCTCTCTGGCTCGCCTGCTGAGCGATGTGACGGAGAGCTGCCAGTCCTGGCTGGATGAGAAAGTCTTCAGAGGCGTGTTCGGGACGGGACAGAACCAGAACCACAACCGGGACCAGGAACAGGACCGGGACCAGGACAGGGACCAGGACAGGGACCAGGACTGGACCAGGACAAACCAGGAGGGCCCGGCCCCGCTGGACGAGTCATCCTGGTCTGCATTCAACAGCACCGAACTGGACGACAGCCGCGGCTTCACCTACGGTTGGTAATCCATTGATCCGGTATATCGGCTCAGCTTTGGAAACACTGATCAATATATTCTCTCTCTTTCTCTTTCAGACCACACTGAGATCCCGCCTCCTCCCGACAAAGTGGCCCCGCCCCCGAAGCTCCTCATCCAGGAGGAGATTTGTTCTGAGATCTGTCAATCAACGGAGCGGTTCACCCAATCACTGGGCGGCCTCTCTGAAGTCCCGCCTCCCTCGCCGTTCTACACCAACAGCTGCTGCTGCCAGACCGCACCTGAGCACAAAGGTGAGCTGCAACACTTATTTCAACGAAGCTGCCCCGGTGGCCCGTTTCCCTGAGGTGTATGAAAATCAAAAGACACATGTATCATATCTAAATGTACAAAAAAGCCTCTTGGACTCACATTTTTCAGACATTTTTTGGGACTATTTTGGGAGTATTTTTGGAGTAATGGTCTGTTTCTCTGACGTGTATTTGTTTGTGTTTGTGTTTCAGGGTTAACGATGAAGACCCTCCTCCTTTTCATCTTCACCGTCTTTATCTTCACCGCTCTTTACTCAGGGTAACATTTTCATTTTTAATCAATTAAAACACATCATCTATAAATACTTAATTACACTCAATAAGCGCAATAAAAATGACTCACTCACCTCAAGTCTCAGTAAACGCATAATACCCTCTTCAAGCTTTAACTTCTTTAAGAAAACACATGTCAACAACAAGAAAGACGTCAGTTACAGTTTGCTTGAAGCCTCTAGTGGCCTTCAGAGGAACTGCAGCTGAACCAACACTGATCATTGACTATCAATTAATGTTAAAGTCCAAAACTCAAGATTAGGATGTCAAAATCAAAGTCTGACTTAAATCCTTCACATAATAAAGCGGGACTCTCTTTTTTCTTCTTCAGGTGTCTCTTGTGGAGTGCGACTGTTGCATCGACTGCGTTTGTGATGATGACAACATTTATGCGTAAGTATCACATAAAAATAGGCTGATACATTACTGTATGTTAAAGGAAAGAATCTGGTGATACAATACGTTTGAGGAGGAGGTTACGATTCAATATATTACGATTTATTTCAGGAAAACTAAAGTATAAAGGTCCCTGTAACATCCAACCTCATAGCTACTACTTTGTCCTGAGTAGTAAGTAATTAACATTTAGGTATGTCAGTAAAAAATAAAATAAAAGTGCTTTCGTGCATTATTTACGTAAATAAATTAAGAAAATAAAAAGTCTTTGCATGTAACCTATTAATTAAAAATGAATACAGTGTTTTTGAGAATCTATACAGTATCCCAAAACATAATATTATGATGCTATCTTACACCCCTATTATGGATCTGTTGACAGCCCGGCAACATGCAATTAAACATTTGTTTTGCACCTTACATGATTATAGTGACACACTATTTTAATTGTTTTCCTAAATTTGCTTTTAAGTAGTGATGTTTACCCCGACTTCTAGTGTGGAATGTCTAAATGCTTGTTTTTAGAAACTGCACCAAAAAATGACTAAATTTAGGGGAAATAAATCATACAACACACTATATGAACACACAAGTGAATGAAACAGAATCAAACTGATTAAAACTGTCTCTGTTAGTGTTTCCAACAATCACCAACTGTGGTTTGGTGGAAATAAATCCTTAATTGCGACGCGGACTTAGGATGATAAAAAACAGGCAGTTTCAGTCCAGGAGCAGACCAGGCTTCGGAAAACCAAACCCAGCAGAGAGCTGGCGATCAACACAGTCAGAGGGAGAGCGACACCATGTGACTCTGTCTTTATATAGAAGGTTAAAGAATATGTCGACGATGTATGTTCATACATTTGTGATGATCCGGTCTCTTTCAGTCCTGACGAAGTCGGGGCCGATGGGCGAGTGGAGGAGAGCGAAGACGGAGGTGAGTAAACAAATAAATCTAATCACTTCATTATGTCAACTGGCGGCGAGGAAACGACGCTAACGGTTTCTAATGATTCTGTTTTACAGGATATAACGTCAAGAAACGAGTAAAAGCGTCCGAAGACGGTTTCCAACGTTTGAAACTGGAGGAGCGACAGAGAAGATCTGATGGGACTCAGTAGAAATATTTCACATGTCACCGACCGTTTGCATGTAAGTTGCACTTAAAGGGCCGAGTTACTTACTGAGCTCCGGATGCATTTCACAGAAACAGCTGGTGCTTCGATGGCAGAAAGTTTTTGTAAAAATTATTTTTTTTAATGTGAATCTTTAAAGTTTCAGAAGGGCTGAAGAGAACATTTAACCTTTAAATCCAAAGCAAAACTCCGGGAAACATTAGCTCAATACATCCAGGTAATGAACCTTTATGCTAACTCCAGTCTGCTCGCTGTGCAGGACGACTGAGACTGACGAAGATTTAAAAAAGTCAGATCAGACAGGAAACGGAGACGCTGCGTCTCATTTTGACTGGATTTTGATTCGTGTTAAACGCTGGAACCACAAAGTTTTTCCCGGAGAATAAAAGCTGAACGTGTTTCTGTTAAAAAGCTGAAGGAGCTCATTCACACGTTAGTGTGGTCACCGTGTGTAACTGTAGCTGTAGCTATAAAACATTTATAAAATATAAAACAAATGTACCTGATGTATTTTTGAAATACTGTGTAAAAGTGTATCTTGTATCTTTATCTGATAGTTGAACTTGGCTTTTTTGGGACGTCCAAAGTGACCAAACGTCAGACGTTAAATCGTCTGCAGAACAAATTCAGGTTTTCGCTTCTATTTAAAACGAGAGCTGTGACTTTTCCTAAGTTCTTCTGATCTACCAGGAAGTTATAACCACAGGAGATAAGTGCCATTTATTTGTCCTGAGGAACCTGACTGAAGAGTTTTATTCCAAAATGAAATTAAAAAGGATCCAAAACAATAGCACAAAACTGAAAAAAAAGCTCAGCTTTTATTGTGAAAATCTTATTTCCTGGGTAGAGTGCTGACAGATTTTGCAGTTTTTTGAGACGCGACAGGACGAATATTTACATCCTGTTAGATCATCTGCAGCTTTTAGATCACTTTCTGGATAAATAAATAAACTTTACTGTTATTATTATCAACAAACAGTTAATGTTTGTGACCAGATTAAACAAATCGAGTGTTAAATATTAAAATCACACAGAATCAGCTCTCTGATGGCGTTACGTTTAACGCCCTCGACCTCCTGAGGTGCACAACGTCAGAGCAAGTCGGACCTAATGTGCTCGTCCTGAACCAGTCTACAGAAAATGTCTGACGTCTGTTAAATGCATCATGAGGAGGAGACGTTTGTTGACATCTGATTGACAGGTCGATGGGCGGGGCCACTGATACACGCCTTGTGACGGCTTTACCTACACGGTTGAGCGAGTACTCGGCTGAAACAGTTATGTTGCTCTGAAACTCAATGCTGTAGTTTTCTATTCAATATAAGCAAACTAAGCCCCGCCCACCCTGAATAGATCATTACTCACTCTTTCCAAGAATTATATGAACAATAATGTTGTGCAGCGTTAAAGCCTCACGAATCGTCGGTGTTATAAATATTAAATATATAATAATATAAATATGCAGCATTTTGTAGTAAAACTCTTCAGCTGTGAAGTGCCTTTTTCTCAGCCAGCAGAGTAACACAGGGAGGTTTAAACCTAAAGTGCTGCTGGATCATAAACAGACCTGCTCCGCTGTTAGATGGAGATAATCTCAGTGTTTGATTTATACTGCGCGGCGTGGCAGACGGGTGGAGCTTCCTGATGCTTCCTGATCTAAAGTATAGATTTTCCCTAATATATGAGGCTGTGTTCACACTGTGTCCAACATGCATTCACACTTTAAGGTCACTTTTAAAGGAAGATTTTAAGATTTTTGGAAAAGTTTTGAAGACATGTTTAGATTTAATCTGTGTGTGTGGAGCTGAGGTCAGAAGACAGTTAAACTGTTGTTCATTTAAAAAAATAGTCCTGTTAAAACCTCAAATGTTCCTGTTTAATCAAACCAAACGCAGTGTTAATTATTGAGCTCTAGAGGGGCTGATAGGAGCCTAAAATATTCTCCTTCTTACAATAAAATTGCACATTTATGCAGGATTTCTCAAACAAACTCTCCAAAACTCAGCGTCTAACTTCCAACGTCTCCTTCACTGACCTGCTGGGAAAATGCGATTCCACCTCCACTGATGGTGAAACTTTTTCCTAACCTTTAAAACCAGCCCCCTCTCTGCCAGCAGCCGTTTTTACGAGCAACCTGCTGTCACTGTACGCGCGTCAGTGGCAGTTTTAAAGGGCATGTGTGAACACAGACTAACTCCACCCGGCTGGGCGTCGCAGGCAGAAAAAATCTGCCTCAACATACTTATTGTACTTTGAGCAATAACTCCAGAAAATGTAAGAAACTCAACTATTAAAACCTCAACAGTGTGCAGGGAGAGAATCTGTAAAGTCACAGTGAAAAAAAACTGTTAAACTATCAATACAGTTTGTATTGATCAGGTTTCATCGGGAGAACAAGTGCAGTAGGAAGCCGAATTAAGTAACGTAAAGAAAGATAAGTACTGTATGGCTTTATAGAGTTCTGACTTTATAAAGTTTGTTAAATTCAATCATGTTTGGGCCTCAAACTACGCCAAGACTTTTACTAAACCTGAGGAGGGAAGAGATGAGCTGTGCTGCGTTCAAATCAACATGTTTCCCAGTAAAACTGTGTGTTGGTGTGTTTTTGTGTCCGAGAGAAACAAGCAGCTTCCTGAATCCGACGAGTTTTTATTCACTCAAAGTGCCAAAATCTGACGGTTCAGGAAATCAGCGACACGTCGTCAATGAACAAGAATCTTAATATTTTTAATCACAGCTCTGCAGAACGTTTTTACTTTTGCATTTAAAGCTGCAATATTTTTATATGAGGTGTCGATTGTAGCTGTACGACGCTTTTTAGCCGCTTTGAGCAACGAGTTTTGGTTTTTTATGGCTGAAAATATGAGCCGAGTCTCTCAGGAGCTAAAAAAGGAGAGCGAATATCAAACAAACTGGATTTGTTAATAAGCAACTGTGTCTGCTCTGCTGCCCCCTGGTGGCCAAACACACTTTAATGCAGCTTTAAATGACCAAAGTTTGTTTTTTTCTTTTATATAATAAACTTTTATGAGGGTGTTGTAAAATGTTGAATTTACTGAAAAGGACAAAAGTGACTAAAATACATTAAATATGATGTAATAAGCTTTTGTGTGTGATGTAATGCAGCTGCTGATGTTTGTTTTAATCTTTTCTTTGACTGCACTTGTTTCCAGATGTGGGAATGTGTCACATATTATATCTGTTATTATTCCACTGTACTGTATTCATGTTATTAAAGTCTCTTAAATTGTAAAATGAAACCTTAAACGACACACAGACGGGCTTTTAATTTGAAATTGGGACAGGAAGAAGATTAAGAAATGATCAATCAATCAATGTGATCAATTTGTGTTGATTACGATGATGGCGCTGCGTTTTAAGGTTTGATTCTTACAGTTTTCAGATATTTTCCAGTTTTAGTGAAAGTGTTTTGTTTTATCTGACGTTTAAATTAAAGTTTAAAGACAAACACTGTGTATTTCTGTTCAACCTGCATCAGTTTACTGTGGAAGAACTTTACTGCCAATAAAATAAGATTATAACTGATAAAATAATCATAAACTAAGATAGGTAAGTAAGTAATGTTTAAATTATGAGATAATTATTTTATCTCATAGTTGAAAAGACGAAATTGGTTTTAAAGTTTTTTGTTAACATTTGTACTTCAGAGACTAAAGAGTCCAACCTGTCTGATTATTTAAGGCAGGAAACTTTGTTTTATCTCCTAAAAATCTGTGTGAAATGTTGTTTATTAATGTTAAATTGGCTTTAAATTATCCTGGACGTTCAAATTAATACAAAAACAATCAACGTCGTCATTTAGTATCTTTATAAAGACTTTCTCTCACTTCAACATCCCACGGTGCGTTCACTGTCCCAGTGCTCGGAGGTGTAACTGACAGTACTGACACACTGAATATTGTTTTTAAATTGATTTTATTATAAAAAGACGTGATGGTATAAAAACACAAGTGAACAGACACAAACATGCAGAATCACAACGGAGGCGACAGAAACAACTAATAATAATAATAATAATAATAATAACAATAATAATAATAATAATAATAACAATAATAATAACAACGTTTACTATTAATACTGAACTGACTTTATTTTAATTATTGTAAAACTTAAAGTACTCAACAGTTGTTCAGTTAGAGCGATGGTTGTCGACAGTCTTTGTATCGTACAGAGACAAACCGCAGGAACAATTTAATACAATTAAATTAACTTTTAAATATCTGTTTTATCTTGTGATCTTTTATTTGCTGTCTCCCTTTATCTTAGAGAGAAACAAGGTAAAAATGTCTCGTTAGCACAATAATAATATATATATGTGGATATTAGACAGGACCTGGTGTCACTGAGCTAATTAAAATTCATGTTTTAAACAATTTAAATAATTTAAATTCTTAATAATTCATCAGAAATACAGATTTGATGCAATAAGACATAAACATTATTTAGATTTATATTAATATAAATACATTTTAGGGGTCAAACAATTGCTCATAATTTTAAAAACCATCAAATTTACTTCGAGACAACTTTAATAATTATTAAATCTTATTATTTATTTAATAAACACAAACTGCAGTCGGAAACCATTTCTCTCGTCGTCACCGTGGTTACTGCGGTTAGCCTCTGTACCGTTTCCGACCTCTGACCGAATCCGTCACTGGAGCGGCGGAGCGAAGCGTCTCTCCGCGGCGTGCACGGTGACGTGGCGCCGCAGGTGGCTCCCGGAGATGAAGGTCTTTCCGCAGTACGAGCACCTGAACTGTTTGCAGTCCGTGTGCACCGTCATGTGGACCTTCAGCGACCCCGACTGGGCGAAGCGCTTCCCGCAGTGGACGCAGCCGTAGCGTTTCTCGCCGGTGTGGACGCTCTGGTGGCGTTTCAGGTTGCTGGAGTCGGAGAAGCGTTTGCCGCAGAGCGCGCAGATGAACGGCTTCTCGCCCGTGTGGACCCTCATGTGCGTCTTCAGGTTCTTGAGGCACGCCAACGTTTTACCGCAGAAGTTGCACGCGAACGTCTTCCCGCCGCCGTCCTCCCGGCTGTGGCTGGACGCCCCGTTGACGCCGTCCTGGTGTCTCCACCGCTCCCTCCTGATGAAGGCGTTTTGCCGCTCTGTCGCCTCTTTCCTCGCAGGAAGCTGCGGCTCGTCCACGGGCGGCGGCGCCCTCTGCTGGTTGCTCTGGAAACCTGCAGACTGAGTCACCTCCCCGACTGCGAACGGGAAGCTGCCGCTGCCCGAATCGGCTGAAACGCCGGCGTTCAATGCGTACGAGCAGCCGGGATCCTCACCCAAAGCATTCTGGGTACCGAGCAGCTGCGGCTCGTACATCAGATGGTCGTAGCCGCCGGTTTCCGACCTCTGGACGGCGTTCAGGGTCGGTTGGACGGACGTGGAGGTGGAGCTGACTTCCCCGCTCATCCATGACCGAGTCGAACCGCCGCCATCGTCCGCTGCTTCCTGTTTGGTCGTTGGGGGCGGAGCTTCTGTCGCAGTCGTCGGTCCCTCGGCAACGCAACAAAACTCTTCTGGAGAGAAAAACAGAAAGATGTTTAACAATCTGCAGATTTTACCAGAAAGTAAAAGTAAAAGTGAGTTTTTTAATGTTTTTATTTAACGTTTTTTTAACCGTACTCACCGCTCCGCTCAGACTGGCTCCAGCACTCGTCGTCCTCCACTTTGATGACGGCGGAGGTCAGTCGGTTCGAGTCGCCGGCGGCGGGCTGAAATCAGAGCAGAGAGGTTATAAAACCTGAAAGAGCGAGAGACGAACGCCGACGTCGTCCTCTACTCACCGTCTCCTGAACGCTGTCTCGTCTAGAGTCGTAGGATGGCGGCGTCTCCTGGTTGGACGCTCTGGGCAGCGCCGCCTCACCTGGAGGAGACATAATGACGTCATCAACAGGTAGGAGCTTAAAGAACAATAATGTTTATTTATTCTACAATATTGTCTCATAATGTTAAAAACTGGTTTCTTTCAGGAACTATAATTAGATTATAGTTTCTACTCACTGTATTTAAAAAGATCTTCCTCTGAAGATGAACACTGAGACTGAGACGGACCTTACATTTGTTTTTAATCAAACTACTTTTGCAATGATTATTTAAAGGAACATTTCACTATTTTCTCAGCACCTTTAAACTTTCAAGCAAATTTTAAAAATATATAAATATAAATATTAAAGGTATGCTGTTGAATATAAAACAATATAAATATATAAAAATATAAATATATAA